AAAGCCACTCAGAGGCTCACGGCGTCCAGTACGGCCTCAATAAACTGACCAACTGTCAAACATCACTCAAGGAAAGACTTGTGGAACGGCATTATTCTCCCCTAAACACCTTTTTTGAGGGGGAGGGGTTCCATTCTAATGATGAGGCGATGCTCAACATGTTACGAATACCATCTATTTAAACGTCTGCTAAGTCTCCGTGTGAAGGATTCATATTACAGCCTCTCTTTCTATCAGCACTGTGCAGGTGTAGCTCCACTTGAATTGGAGTCCACCTTTGAAGAAATGTGCACCGGCGTTAATGTGTCGGTGACGCCGGGGCCACAGAGGATTTGTTGGAGGAAACTAAGCTCGCCCGGCGTCTTCTGTCTGAGGTTTTATCGTTAATCATCTCTCCCTCACACCTCGGAGTTCGACCGAAAAGCCTGTTTGTAAATTTCCAAGCTTCACTGTGGCTCGTGCTGATAGCGAGGATCTGTTGCTTTATTTAGACCGCGGATAAAACTTCTTTCCCTCGTGCGGTTTTGTGAGCCGCTACTTTCAATATTGTTTTGGTAATCCTGTGTTGGACTGCAGCTGTAGACTTACGTTGTTAATGAAAATGTGGAATATTGGCACCGGTGCTGAGGAGAATGAGGATATAAACAAATCTTCTCCCTTACAAACAGAGGAGAGCCGGAACCAGGACCGACTAGGGCCCCACGGTCTCTGATGCTCAAAAAACACCACCGCTTTGGTCTCTACAGGGACCGTCAGATCAGCACTAAATAAAATCTCCACGAGGAGCAGGTTTGATTAAAAAAAAAGAAAAAAAAAAAGCATCTTCTCGTCCAATTATGTATTTCCTGGGATATAGCTGACAAACAAATATAATCTGCCTCTCTGAAAACAAACATGTCGTATGGCTAAATGGATCAGTGTTAAATCACTAGTGACCACTGAGTGAAGTTGGTCGTTTTATGTAACAGAAGTTGATTAGTGCAGAAATTGACACCATTACTGACGGGTTCACAACCATGTTCAAATGTATAATTGACAGTCAAAAAAAGCTGTCGTGGAAATAAACTACAGGAACTGGAATTATTCATTAAAGCGTACATACGTTTACCAATAGGATGCAGAATAGAAAACACTTCCACCAATGAATTATTGTTAGAACATGGGAGGGCAAAAAAAGAAAGGATCGCCCAGTTCAGGGTGGTACAGTACACAGTGATTCCCTTCGCCTTCCTTCAAAGCAGTCGAAAGTGAGGGTTCTGATTTATTCATAAGCAGTGCTTCTCCTGCCAGAGAGCCTTAAACGAAGGCAGATTACACAACGGTAACAGTTCTAGTGAGAAAAGCTCATTTCAAACCAACCCAAATACTGTTCACATGTTGCACTAGATACACTACCTGCTCCACTCGGAACAGCCGACTAACAACCACGTAGCCACTGAGCTGACGGTGTGTTTCTATACCAGCTCTCAGGCGGCTGTTTCAGGCTCATTTATTCCAACACGGCGGTGTGGAATGCTCATCTCTGGTGCCTTCGGATCCACGTCGGATATAACTCAACATGACTCTGGATGCACAGCCTCCATCACGCTTCTGTCAGTCTATCAGAGAGTGAAGGTCACCGCTCCGTCCTGCTTACCTGGCCTCCTATAGCCCGACCGCATGTCCTCACACTGCACCGCCAGACTCCCTCGGAATCTCGCCCGGGTGCCGCGGCTCGAGAACAGAAACACATTGCGTTTGTCTCATAAATCCCCAACTGCAATATTGGCCCCGGCTAATATTGAGTGGTCGCAATAATTTAGTGTTTTTGCAGGAATAGATTCCTGAAAAGTCTAGAAATAATATTTGGATCATTTTGGGTCAGAAAATGTCTCCGCTGAATAACAGAGGGTTCTGTGTTTAAGGGCCGGCAGCTCTTGGAAGGTGTTTAATAAAAGGGTTTATTCTGTTAAAAAGGTTTCTACTTTAATACGCTGTTTAAGATATATCTGTTACTGTACTGTTCATTTATATTGCACACATTTCATTTAAGTTTTTTTCTTTTACAACCTGTTTTGCACTTTTCCTCGTCACCTCATTTCTGCCTCATCCTTACCTCATTTTTTATTTCATGTACATTTATAATATAAATAATCTTTGAATATTTTCCAAATGTAACTGGACCCTGTTCCTGCCTCCTACTGCTTCTATCATCATCATTATTATTGTAAATATTAATCACATTACTATTACTGTCATCGTAAACCAACATTACCCTTTCCTAAAGTCTGTGTGCTCCCCACAGGCTTCTGTGGATGGTGGTTCTATCTGGTGGTGGTTCCATGTGATGGTGGTTCTATCTGGTGGTGGTTCTATCTGATGGTGGTTCTATCTGGTGGTGGTTACATGTGATGGTGGTTCTATCTGGTGGTGGTTACATGTGATGGTGGTTCTATCTGATGGTGGTTACATGTATTGTTGTTTGTCCATTGATAGGCATCAGCTGTTCAATAATAATAATAATAGTCACACTTCCTCAATGGATTCATCTTCAGATGACAACATCAGATAATGTATGCCGTCTCTAGCGTGCATTTCTTCATCAAGTAAATCGAACTTCCGTCACCTGAAGGTCATTTTGTATGAAGAGAAATGACTCTCCAGCTGTAGCCTGCAGCGCCTCTTAGGTGTGATCTGGTCACATTTGATTGGTCTCTCAGTCCTTCCTTGGAAACAAACAACCGGAATCCAGAGTCAAAATAAACCTGCAGATTCAACAGACAAATCTGTTGAAGATTGATCCGACTGTATGTATTTGGAATGCAGAGAAGTGACTTTAGACACGTCTTCTAGCCGGTTAATCGCAGTAAGCCAACCCTAAAGCGTACTCTGCTTTATGGTCTATTCTACTCTAAATGGACCATCATTTACTAAATGACTATGCTGTGTTGAAAAGGACTTGAAACTAGAGATTGAGGTCATGAACTCATCTTCACAACGTTTAGTGAGGGAATAGATCACGAGAGAAGTACAGTCATTTTCTCATAGACTTCCATTCAACCAGACTTCTTTTTGCATCCGAAAGACACAAAACTTGTCATGGATTGCAACATAACTACGTCAGCGTATCAACCAGCTGGTGTAAACTGTGGACGGATTTTAGTTGGAGAGCAGAAGCGACTGACAGCTGCCGGAGCCGCAGAGCAGCATTTATCCAGGCGTCTGCGGGCTGTAAATATATATATACAGCGGCTGCCTCTGCTCGCATCCACCCACATCTATTAAGACAAGCCAAATCCCGCGCATGAGAGCAGCGCATGAGAGGAGCTCGGTATCACGCAACCTGACCCCGCGAGACAACAGGCTGCGGGTGTTAAATCGCCCCCATCCGCTCCATATATCACTGTTATCTCTATCACCCATGTGAAGATTAGCCTTCCACCCAGAGCTACCTACTTGCTAAGACGGCCGCTGTTGAGCAAAAGGCCGGACGCCCCAGGCAGTATGAGGTGATAACCCCCCCCTGCGCCTCCGAGAAAGACCTATACGTCCTGAATGTTGACATGTACAGGACGCCTTTACTTAATCCTCCAAAAAAAATAAATCCAGTTGACAGCACGGAATAAAAAGAGGGACGCGAGTTTCAGAGTAAAAACACACCACCAAGTGCATCATTGAGCTGAGCTGTGGAGCGAACGGTGGACGCACCGAGTCCTCCTCGAACTCGGCTTCCCCCCGAGGGGAAAAACACGCTGAAGCACACGTGGAAGAAACTTCACCTACGTGCTCATTCTGCAAACACCGAGGAGCAGGTTGGACTTTCTGTTGGTCACTCGGCTGCATTTTGTTCTGGTGGGAATGAAACGGTACTCCTGTGAATTCTTCATGCCGTCTGCAGTGTTTTCTTTTCCTTCCTCACACCAAAGGAACCGTGGTGGCCGAAAGGCCGCCTCGCCTCTATTGTAATGAGGATGTGAGGGGGGCCGTATGTATTCGCTGACCCCCCCCCCAGTGAGCAATCGACGGGGCGACATGGACATGGCAGGTTTATTAAGTCAGCCCTGGGAAATGAAGCTTTAAAGTGGAATATTAATCATCACTTCACAGGACTAAGTGACAGAGGAGAGTGATCAGTGAATACAATTTTAGGGGTGGGTGAGGAATGGGGGAGGGGGTATTTATTGTGCTGTAGTGCCTTAGTGGGTGGTGTGCTAGTGAGAGTGTGCGTGGGGGGGAAATGTTTCCTTCCCAATGATCCATTTATATGAGCAGTTTGTGCAAACTAACAGTGCTCGAGGAGGGAAAGGGAAGTGACTGAGCTCTTGAAATGTGAGACAAACATCAGAAACTGCGATCACATCCAGCAAACACACTCCTCCACACACACACTCCTCCACGCACGCACACACACGCACACACGCACGCACGCACGCACGGTCACTAAGAAACCGTCGTTTAAATAATTGACTATCTTAATCACCCGCTCAAGTCATCTTAAGGACACGTGATCTCGGGTGTGTGTTGCGGAGTAAAACCTACTGTGTACATCATAATAATTCACAAGATGAAGAGCGGTCGGTGACACGCACATTTTATGGAGGTGCCTCGCGCGCGTCCACTTCATCAATTAAGCGATGATTGAATAAGGACAAATAAATACACACATTTGGTTCTATATTTGCGCACAACTCATGTGCGTCAAACTAAATGACTTATTCTGGCATTAAAAGCTGCCCCACTTCCTCTACGCGGGCAAACACCCACACGTGTGACTCCACGCAGCAGCGCGGCGGAATGCGCAAACGGACCACGATGTTTGCTGCTTTCTGCTGCGGTATTTAACTTTTTTTTCCCCCCCAAAAAATGCTTAAAAACGGGGGAAGGTTGCAGCATCTCACTCCATCGGGGTAACGCGCAATCTGTGCAAAAAAAGCCATGGCGAGGCAGCACATAACGGCGCGCGGGCGGAGACAGATCGCGCACATAGCAGCATCTCCCCCCCCCCCCGACCGGTGCCTTACCTGGAGCCGGAGAGGAGACGCGGCGGGGAGGCGGGAGGCGGGAGGGCGTCGGGCGGAGAGCCGGGCACAGGCAGCCTGCAGTGAGGAAGGAGTGAAGTGCGTCTGTCGGATTTTTTTCTCCTCGAGCCGATATCGCGCGTGCAGCGGAGTCTCAGACCAGCCCCCTTTTTATCAAACTATGTCCAACATCTGCCTCCCCATCGCCATCAGAACCCCCGCATCGTGCACGCTGCACGCGCTTTATGGATGCAATGTTCCACATTGTGAAATATGACTTCACAGTGTATGTGCAGCAAAGCAAATACCTTCATCAATTAGCTTTGTTCGATTTCTATTATCGTGCAGAGGTTTTGAACCTTCTTCGAATGATGAAGAATTCCCTTTTGAGTCTGTTTTTTTCTCATAACAATGATTTGAATTCCATGGCACTGATGGCAGCATTATTTAAAGTAGAGACGGATCATTCTCATGTTCAGGTCCATACTTTTATTTGGGATGTCTAACTAGAACATGTTTACCTGCTTTAATGAATTCTCTTAGTGTCCGTCAACAATCTTGTATTCGATCATTTTCTCAATCTCCTTTTGCTCCTCTGGCTTTAAAGCAATCAGCACATTTATCAAGCCGATTTGAAATGTAAAGATTTATTAGAGTAATTTCTACCTGATCAGAGAACGCGTTCGCCTTTTGCTCTGGTGTTGTTGTTCTAGCTCCTCTCGGTCCGGCTGCACGTGCTTTAAGTGCAGGTTTGATGGCTGACAAGCGGCCTTCCTCTGCACTGCCGTCATAAAGCAGCGTGGGTCAGGGCCAATAGCCCCATGATCTGGGTCTCTATGTGGGAAACTCTGTGAGTACCTCAACGGAAAAAAGCACTTTCCAGACTAGAGTTGATGCTAATCAGCCGTCAATTATATCTGAATTGTTGAGGTATAAAAACTACAGATAGGAGTCGGTCGAATACAGTCCATGCCGATACAAAGCTAATAGGGAACAGCATTTCTTGCACACTTACAGGACGAATTGGATCAGGTATTTGAGTTACTGGTGACATTTTAATTTATGAAAAGAAGATTTTTAGAGAATTTTATGGTGGATATCAAAATCCACCATCAGATGACAAATATTCCAATCCTGCCTTTAATCCAGTCAAATATATCCTTACGCCCCACACTGTCGTGACACCTCAAAGTCGGGATGCTTAATGTGGACAGTATAGAATCGGCAGCGTTCTAATCAGATTTTGAATACACGCTGAAACGCCTGTGGCAAATAAAAAGAGTCTTTTCATTCAAACTAATCAAAAATCTCAAGTCTGAAAGTCCTCAATCCCAAATCAGGGTGCTGCAGCTCATCCACCGGTATCACCACGTCCTACGCCTGTCCTCTGCTCAAACTTGATTCATTTGTTTGTCTCCTTCTTTTAAGTCAAGGTTTTGACTTTGAGCCTCACTGATTTTTTAAATTGAGTTCTGGACAAGAAAAACAATTCCTGACAAAACACAAAACAATACGCAGACCAAAAAAAGTAAAGTGGATTAGGGGGAGAACTCAAGATGATTGAAATCACACAGGAACATAAAGAGAACTGTTAACTTGTTTTATTCTGTGTAGCCTAGTGCACAATATGCTCTGAACAGAGAAACCTTCGCTCGTCCTGAACACCTACTAAACTACCGTGAGCGAGTGTCAGCTTGTGCATTCCTCCTACGACATTGCCTACATATCAGCATCATCTGTCATCTGAGAACTGGGGACCAAATCCCGGTGATATGATCTAATCCACCTGCTTTGCCTTCGGACGGCCCATTTATAGCTTGGTATCATGTGACTGAATTGTCTCCCAACACTGTCCACTTTCTAAAAACTATTTTTGATACGGTTAAATAAGGTACTATAGTGCTGTCGCCATAATTCAGCAATATTGTCCGACAGTGCAGAGTAGATGTTTTACAGTGGTTAAGAACTCGTTCAAGAAGGCATCTGCATTGTTGCTCATCAGCTTCTTGGCGTGTGATCAGCACTCATAGCGCGGTCATTTTTACAAACGAAGCGAATGGCATACTTCTATCTCACATTGGTTTTTCTGCACTCCAGTTCCCTTTTCAGGGTCTACCTGCGATGGACCGGGACTGAAAGGCTCCGACACTACATACAAGTTCCCCTCAGGTCTGATGTGATTCTGATCATTAACGTCAGCACACGAAATGTTCAGGATGAAAATCACCAGATTATCGTTCCTTCCATAGCAGTAATAGTGACACAATTTTCACAAGGAAAACGTAGCAGCCCTCTTAGAAAGCTACACTTCACCAAATGTCAAATTCTGTCACGCGCCGCCCGCATAGATACACTGATGAAAACCTTAGATGTCAGACTTTTTATTCTCCTTGTCCAGACAATAGAGAGCTGGCATTTGGTTTCTGGCCCCATTCTGAGGACGTTTTGAAGCAACACAGAGAGAAAAGTCATTATCTTTACAGGTGATAACTCCAGAGGCCATTCGTGTAAGAACAAATCCCAGAGGATGGTACTCGTGCAGTACAGACAAATCATTACCAACAGAGCCCCCCCTCCCCACCCCCCCCGAAATAGAAAGGAAGCCACGTGGGCAGATTTCCGTTTCATGATCTGTGGAGAATGTGCTCAGGATCCAGGAATACAAACTACACCAAGGGCAAATATGCAGTTATCAGAAGCGGCTCCATAATTAAAGTATTCATTTCAAGTAATTACTGCCTAATCCGGTGGGACACCAAGTGTTACATTCTGAACTTCCTGATATTGAACCACCTGGGTGAGTGTTGCACAGCATATGAGATGGGTTCATTCATTCTGGTTAGAAATACGGACGGGCTGAGGAAATGTTTTCAGTGTTCTGAATCCTGAGATTGCGTTCAGTCAAAAAAATCTAATCTAATTGGACTGGAAGTGAAACCCGGATTGATCTTGAACTTCACTAACTTGCCATCTAGAAAACAGAATTAAGGTTGGATACCGCTAGCAATTAAAGGCTTTATGCAACCAATATCCTGCAAATATAAAACTATTGCTGATGAAACATATCAGAATATATCGACTACAGTCCCGCCTTTGATACCACCACCGCGTTAGTTTTAGCACTTTTGATGAACAACACATGACGTGTGAGCTAAATAGCTTCAAGTTCTGGAGTCACATTTCTTTGTAGAGTCAAGCTAGCGGTTTCCCTTTGCTTCCATCCTCCTTTTACTCGTCGGCTAAATGGTGACACATGTTCTGTACGAATGCTTCACTCTGTAAGTGGACTCACGCTGCAGTGGAATACCATCTGCAAAGAACTTTACTCCACAATGTAGCAGGCAAAACCAGTTGGCAGCAAAATCGACTTTATTAGACTAATTAAGCTCTGCACCATAATTGCCCTGTGATGGACTGACTCGTTTTTCTCATTTCTCATGTCTCGTTGCCCTCATTTGTTTGAAATGGAGCAGAAGGATAAAGAAGAATTCAAACAAATGCTCCTTCTTGTTTTGGCTCCCCGCTGTAAACTCTTGTCTAGCCGCCGAGAGCGAAAACACTTCAAACGCTCCGGTGTGTCTACTGCTCTGCACTGGATGGTTTTGGATTTCTACCAACACACTTTACAAAGTGCTACTGTGTGTGTACGTGTGCAGACAACAGACCTAGCTTAGCATCGACATAGAGAACGGCTACGTGCTAAATATCAACCAAATCACTTTGACTTTGTGGAGGAAATGAGACAGCTGCCTTTTGATGATCCCATTGTCATTTGCATAATTACGTTCATTCAACGGGGCTAAATTCAAAACAGGAAGGGCAAAGACTTGTGCTATCCTCCACTTTACCGTTGGGGTCACAGTGGTTTTCTTTCTTTTATTTTTCTCACCACTCCATTACACAGACGCATAATGGAACATGTTCTTTATTTCATTGTACTTACTCACCTTAACTGTGTACAGACATTCAAAGTGCTTCACATAAGGCATGAAAAGAGGACAATTGATAAAATGGAAAGACAAATATATTATATTATATGAACTAGTTACGGGTTGTCTGTAACACATTTAATAGATGGTTTAATAGACGGGTTGTTTGTCTCTTTAGAGGACAGATAGTAAGTTAACATACAACCATCTACTAATCTACATTGACTGACTAACTCATAAAGATAACTTAAGATACGTAGGGAACGTAATTTCCCCCCCAAGAATCTCTTCCTTAATCAAACCATGAAATTTGGTCTGAACGCTTCACAACACTAATCTCATTTTTATGCTGCCACTGTGCAACCCTGTGAAGACATTTCTGCACAACTAAACAGTAACCAACAAAAAGTTGGAATTTTAAACATGCGGTTTAAGTTGTATGTTTATGTTTTAATTTGAAACAAAACAAAAATGTTAAATGACTAAAAATAGAGAAGCTCAACACTGTGATACAGTTTTCATTCACTCATAGGAGCCATCTCTCTTGTGCCAGATACAGGAGGTTTCTTTCTCTGACCATTGCACATTTTGTCTGCTGCACACTGCGGCTGTTAGTAATGATTCATCGCGTGTCCTCCCCCTCGCTGTGAATAACATTTCAGAGGAAATAGACAAATCAGCGATGCTTTTTATATGCAGACCTTTCAATCGGGAGCTTACTTGTCTGCAATGGATGACACCCAAGCCCGGCTGTGTAGTTCATGTTATGCTTCAACAAATTGCTTCACATGGGACCAGCGGAGAGTCTTTTCTCTTTCTGGGACATAAAACCCACAGAGACAGCTCCTTCTTATACTTTAACTTCAAGCTGTTCCCAGCTGTTAAAGTTAAAGATGGTTACGTGACCAAAAAGGAACATAATGACTGTGATTGTGTAAAATCCCACCGCCATTTGTCATATTATTATAGCTGTTGCAGCTTTAATCAGAAAACCACATGTGTCTGTGGTGGCTTCCTCTATTGCCTTAAGTCACACTTCTGTCTTATTACATCTCTGAAATGTTATTTGCTTGCTAAGGCAACACAGGTTTCTTCCTCTAATTGTCTCTTTGGGGAGAGGGATCTTCATGTGTGAAGGAAAGGAGTGAACAAGGGCTTCTGGCCCACTTTTCTCCGGCCACAAACAGCACGCAGGTGACTAACAGTAGAAATGTTTTAAAATCAAACCGCAATCTT